GGGCTTCTTCCTGTTGGATTATCCTGTTATATCTGTGTTACTTTAACAGGCTTGGGTGTGATATTCCAACACATAAGCTTTCTGTGTAAGTAATTTACCATCTGCCTGCCTTTCCCAGTCTGGAATTGAGGAGATGAGCTCTGGAAGATGTCCTAGAAGCCTCAAACATGTCAGGTGTTCCTGAGTGAGGAAGGGAAAAAGTACTTCTCTGTCTGCTAAAATAAATGATGAGCTTAAATTACTTGGTTTAGTGGGCTATTGGGGAAAAAATGTTTAATGGTAAAGACTGGAAAAAGACAAAACCAAATTACTAAGAAAAGGTATTCACTATCCTTAACTAGAAATTTCTTAAGGATAGGGAAACAGGCATCTGTCATGAGTTGATTTAAATTTGATCCTGCATTTGAAAGGGGGAAAGGAGACTGAATAACATCTTAAATTTCTTTTTAAATAAAGAAATACCTTTTTAAAGTTCCTTTTAATTTTTAGTGATCCTGTGATGGCCTCTCTATGGTGACATTGTCCAAGATGAGTGGAAGGAGAGGAGGCCACTGTGCAGAGGCTGCCCTTTGCTTCTGCCTTTCCATGGGCCTCTCTCTCTTGAGCCTCCTTGTGCCTGCAGCCATGAGAGCTCCAGAGGGAGCATCAGGCTGGGGGCTTGTCATCATGGGGAAGCTTCACCAGTGATTCTGCACCTTGGCTCCAGTGCAGCTGTACTGTTGTGCTGCTGTCTGCAGAGGTGCTTGCTCTGTGATAAGAGTCAGTTTCTTTTGGCTTTAAGCACACTTAGATTTCCAAGTGACATCACAGTGCAGTGTTCTGCACAGTGCCAGGGGTTTGCATGGCTCGAACAGCCGCTGTGGGATTTGGTGCTTGTCTTGGCTGTTGGCATTTTGCAGCTCTTTGCCATTTCACTCTTGAGTCAATGACAGCTTTCAGCACAGGGCCCTGTTTTTGCCCTCCAGTTCCCAGAGCATAAGATAACACAGTCAGTCCTGGAAAAAAAGAACCTTCTGCAGTACTGTGAAATAATACAGCAATAGATGATGCCAGATAAAGGTATGGGTTTGAGTTCCTTCCTCAGTCCCCTTGTGAGTGCTGTCCTCCCTCTGCACATCTGGGCCATTACAGAGCTATCCAGTGCCAAAAGCCCCCCAGATACCTCCCACTCCATCTCTGGGGTAGCCCAGGAGTGTTCACACCCTTCAGGACTCACACAGGATGGCTGTCATTGAGGCCTACCTGACACATTTTTACCTCGTCCCGCTCTCTGACTCCTCTTGCCTCCATCCCCATTGCTTCCCTCTGTGTTCCCCAGCCTGCAGCTTATTTTGAAGATTTAACTGGAACTTCTGCAGTACATTAATTTCATATCATCCCTCTATGCAGGGAGGAATTTTGTCCAAGTCAGGTGGTGAATCCTAATGAATTCTGTCATTCTAGTGCTATACAGCAAATGACATCAGTGCCATCACTGTTAGCAGCAGCCCAGTTACTTTTCTTGATGATAAATCCCACAGATTTGAGGGATATGAATAACATAAAAAGCAGGAGTGGTTGTGGAGTTCAGAAGGATGATTTTTCCTCAGTCCTCAGCAGGAATGCTTGACCACACAGTGCCTGAGCACACAGAGAGGGCCCCCCACCTGGGCTTGTTACCATCAACAAGCACATGCAAAGCTCAGAACCCATGGCCTCATTCTCCACAGCATCCAGTACAGGTTATGTGAAATATTAAAATATGTAATTTTAAATGCATGCTTTTTATTGCTTTATAACTAAGAAACCAGATCTTTCCCACTGACTTTCCCTGCAACTTTTCCCTGTTCTCATATCCCATGTGGCTCTTAAGTGCGCAAAGGCACCAGTATTAAAGTTTATAAGATATTTATATAAATCAGATGGTTGGTGAGTATTAAATCTGATTTTTCTCAATAACCCGAGGGGGAATATTAAAATATTAAGATTGTTTGAATTTTTAAAACACAATTGAGCTTTTGAATAGTTTAGTCCAAAGCCTCAATTCTTGTACTCAAATGTAAACTGGCTGAGGACAGAGCCCTTGAAGTTTTAATCTTGTTATTCACATCCAGTGAGACAAAAGGTGGGCTTAGAGGAAAGCCTATCCTCAAAAATCACGAACAGACTAATAGGGAAAAATTAATTTTAACTTGTCTATTCATCACATGATTTTCATCTTGAGAAGGGCACATATCTAGTTCTAAATAACTGATGTCATAATACAAAAATTAGCATCAAAAATGCCTCATGGCATTGATGGCTTAGTATCCATCTTTACTTTTGTATTCAATGGCTTCAACATAATTATGAGATTTTCCCATTTCAACAAACCTTCTCAGGTACTCGATATTGCACTTTCCATTATTTCCTCCTGATTCCATTTTCTGTCTTTATCTGATTGTGTTCTGAACCAGCATTGTGGATCAGTACAGCCAAAGCCTCCTAGTTCTTTTTTTTTAATACAAAATAGCAGTTGCTTTTGGGAGGACACATTGCTTCTGACTTGTGCAAGGGTGTGCAGAAGACAGCTGGATGACAGGGAGCTGTGTAGGCAAAGGAATGTTTGCTCTTTGCTTTAGGCTCTGATTAGGTCAATTCTTGTGACAGAGTTATTCCCGCAAACCCACAATTACTGCTAGGCTGAGTTTTCTGGAAAGAGAGATTTCTTTGCATGCTGTCTGACCATCCCCTTGCAGGAGTGATGGGTACTGGTATATGTAGGTAAGTAAGTAAGTTGCAAAATGAATGTACTTAGATCCTATACTACTGTTTTTTTTCCATAGCTGAGAAATCAACCTCTGGCCCACATGTCTCTGCAGAGAAACAGATATATTGCTGTGGGAAACGAATACTGACATCAGAAGAAGCAGGAAACCAGAAACTGAGAAAGTTGACATTTTTGTTACAGTTGTATTTCTTTATCTTTGTGCTTCAGGCCTCATTTCATACTTAATTTTACAAAATGAAAACCAAAGATAGCAAGGATGAAAAAGTTCTTTGCCTTTTTGAGCTGATACTTAAATGAGTTCTTGTTATAACTTTTAAGAACTATATTTTAGAAATTAATAGAACCAAAGCAGGTAAACAAATACGCTTTAAATAAAATCTTTGCAATATTATTCCTGATATTTACAGTATCTTGACTTTAAGCTTTATGCTACAATGGCTGCAGGCTTTTGGGGGTAAAGAGTAATTCTTAGTCAAATGGCTGAGCAAGAAATCACAAGAAGTGATTTGTCTTCTTAGATAACAGAATTTTAAAAATAACCTTAGAACACATGAAATAAGGCTTAAATGCCATTATGACAAAAGACAAGCTACTGATAATCATCCTGTGTATATTTGCAGTTCACATATTTACATGACAGACAGATCTAGACTTGCTTCAATCACCTTTTCAGTATATTTTTTCATACTGTTAATGTTATGAAAAATGTTATATATGTAAATAAAAAAAAGCCCTGAAAGTGAAAAGGGTATGTCCATCATCATTATTGTGGGCCCTTGTCAAAAACCCCATCCTGTTAAAGTAGATAAGTGATTTTTAAAATTAGAGGTGAAAGAAACCTAATAAATAGTTTTGTCCATCATGACAAACTGGACATACTGCCATTATATTTTATCTACAAGAAAATGTTAATTCATTGGTTCATAACAGGTACCCTTTTTCAGCCTGAAATGATGTTTTTTCTCTAATACTTTTCTTTTTTAGTAACACTGTTGAGATCAAAGTCTCCCGGAAGGTGTTCTCAAGACACATTCCTAATAATACCCCTAATTATAATTATAGGCCTACCTAGACTACCTTTCAATCAATATTCAGGTGCTCATGGTGATGAATAAGGAAGATCTTCTACTGAAGTTACCTGGTTCTCAGCAGTCTGGATTTTAGACCAGGTTTGCCTATGAGTTCTCAGTGTGACTCCAAAGAGCTCATTGAATTTACCTGTTCTCTAGTTGGTTGTGTGGAATCTCTAGTTCTTCACTATGTAAAACCTGGTAAGGTCTGCTTCTTCATACCCAAGAGGATGGATCTTACAGAATAATTCTGAGCACAAAAAGGCTCCTTTCCTACCCATAGAAAGCAGGAGACTTTGCTGATTTACAATATGAATCTCTACAGAGCTAAAACAGGAAATAAAGTGATTTGAATTACATGAATCATGCAGGTTGAATCTAATATTTTGTTTCTAATAGCCTAGGAAAAATATAGGAAACAATGGTGTGTCTTATGCTCACAAAGATTTATAATTCTGTTTCTTCAGAAGAGGAAATCCTATCAATACCATCTTTGCATTTGTAAAGAGAAATGTGTGAACACCATCTGAGAGGTTTTTTGATCTGTGCAGGACTTTGAATTGGTCATGATGAATGATGATTCATTCACCATCTCTTTGACAAAAAGATTCTCATTTCAGCTGAAATTCAGAGTCATAGAATGGTTTGAGTTGGAAGAGACTTTCAAGATCATCTAGTTCCAACCCCCCTGCCATGCATGAGCCCCTTCCACTCAGTCAGGTGCTCAGGACCTCATCCAGCCTGGCCTTGAACACTTCCTGGGATGGGGCTGCCACAACATCTCTGGGCAACCTGTCCCAGTGCCTCACCATCCTTGAAGTGAAGAATTTCCTACCTGGGTGTGATAAAGAGCACTAGTGGATTAAGATGTCAGCGGCTTCTGTACTGGCTTCTTCACAAACCTTATTCTTATACCACCAAACATAAATTCAGCTGAATTGCTGTGTATTATCAAACATTAAGTTATTGCCAACTTTCCACAATGGACAAAAGGCCATCACAATGGACACTACTACACACACAGACTATATTGACATGAAAAAATATGGGGATAATCAAGCTATAGTGGTGTTTTATCAGTTTTTACTCGTGCTACCAGAGTCTGCAAAACTATTTTGGAAAAAGAAAGACTGAATAATTTTAGGCTTTTCTGAAATTTATGGTGTGCTAATTTTCATTCATGTCAATGTGGCTCTTGGCTTCTCTTGATTATTATATATTCAAGCTTGTCATCACTGTCAGAGTAAACAAGTGACCCAATTCAGCTTGGTCTTCACCTTTCACCCACGTAAAATTTCAAAAGGAGACTCATTGTTTTTGCATGTGTCGTAACCCTGTAATTATGAAGAAATTCAGTAGCAAATTACTTCCATGGCTTTTCCCCTCAATTCTCAGCAGTTAAAAGCATTCCTTCAAGAGACATTAGATAGTCTCAATTTCCCTGTTCTTCTGAGGATAACATACTAATGAAAATATACACTAAAGATTTTTTTCTGAGAGAGAAAAACTGTTAAAGTCGGTGGAAGTAAATCATTGCCCATTAACAGTCACAATTTAACACTCATTCTTTTTGTTTCTCAGCACCTCATTAATGTTGGAAAGGTACACACTGGGGAACATCTCATAACTTTGAAGAAGATCCTGCACACACAACAAGTGTCTAACCATCTATTACAGCAGTTTTCCTAGGTTCCTAGAGCCAAATTGTCATATATTGTAGTTGCTGTCATAGTGTGGGGAAATAGTGGGGAAAAAATAGTTAACCAAATTACAGAACATGTCAACATATGTCCTGTGAAATAGGTGGTATGATAAAATGCTAGGAACTTAATGCCTGTCTCTACCATATTCTATCAACCACCAAAATAAATAAACTTAAATGTGTAGGTTAGGAAATGTGTCACTGGCTATACACATTGTGACATGGCTCTTCTGGCAATATATGTAGAAAAGGCTGTTGTCCAGCCTCTCAAACCACAATAGCTAAAACACATAGTGGGCTCCTGTGATATTTGTTGTCTCGCCGAGCTTCAAGTAGCTGACTTGTGAATGCATAATCAGTATGACATTTTGGAAGGCTGCTTTTATTTGCAATATGTTTTCCTATGCTTGCCAGTTCTGAAGATGAAAGACAACCTGACAGTATTTAAATAATGAGCTCTTTGATCAGAATATATATGAAACAACCTTTTTACCCTGACACATTTTTGGTGAATTTGTCTGAATACCATAAATTGTGTATCTAAGAAACAGGCTTTAAGCAATTCCTTTGAGTTCCTGCTCTATTAATAACACCTACTTTTATTGACAGGGTAGAAGCAAGTTTGCCAAATGCTGGAAAGCTGGGATGACAGCTGATGTTCCTCTTTTCATAAATCTACGATTTCAAGTAATTTTGCAGTGGGACAGTCAGAATAATCTGGAGTCTGACATTGTTGATGTGTTGCTTAGGCCTAGAAATACTGGTCTAGAGACTCTGTACTAGGCTTCTCTGACTTTACTGGTTTGAAGCCAAAGAAGCAACATTAGAGGAGATAAATGACATAAACAAGGTATGTCACAACTTATTGAATAGAATGTCCATTGTATTTTGTTAAAGTTAATATTACTCTATTGCATTACACTGGAAGACTTTGCATACCTGAAGTTTTTAACAGCACTAGGATTTGTTGTAGCTGATGTGGCTGAACTTTCAGATTTTTGTTCTACTGCTGCCAAAAAGGGACTGTTTTAGAGCAAGCTATATTTCAAGTAATTTCTTTCTGACAAGATATAATAATGGGATTATGGAATACAGCTAATTCAGATTCATGCTGATTTCATGTGTCCTAGCCTTTTAAAAACAGCTTAATTAAACTCTATATAAAAACAACACCAGCAGAATTTCTTGAGTTGATCTCTGTTCTCATACCTTTCATTTCTTTGCAATTAATTATATTGTCTTCACATACTGTCAGGAAAAAGTGTAATTTCAAGAGTTCCAGCTGATCCAGTGGTATTCTCCAGTTTCCCAGAGGTACCAATGGGTTCTCATTGTACCACTGACAGCAGAGATGCACTCTGTCAGAAGTGTTGTTTTGCAAAGTTGCAAGGAAAGAGAGGGTGCAAGGAACCTTCCCTTCCTGAGAAATATTCTTCATATGTTGACGGATGAAAATGGAGAAATAACTGGGAAATGGGCAAAAAATCCAGGCTTTGATTGATATCCACAATTTTCTTGGTCTGTAGATGTTTCTTTGTGCTGCCTGGCTTTGGCTCCTGATTCTCACCACACCCCTGATTCGTGGCACTGCTTCCAGTGATGTGCACACCCTGCTTGTGTCCATAATGCCACATGGACTTTATTATATTGAAATGCAGTAATGTTCAATCCCTGCATGACCTGGGAGTCCAGTACTTGCTCCCAGACTGCTGCAGGAAGCACTACTGATCCAAGATATTCCCACAAAAGTGCTTTATTAGCAAAAGAGACAGCAGTAAACCTCCACCTGGTCATTGACCAGCCTGGGGACAGGACAGTCAATAGGCTAAGCTGAAAACCATGAGATCTGGAATAATGTAAGGTTTTAGTTTTTTCTTTCAGGACTATACAGTTGAAGGTTGAACTTGAAAGTCTATGTTTTTGAGTAGGTTATAGTGCAAGCATGGATTTAATAAGAATGGCTAAGGGGCTTTAAAATTCCTTAGCAGGACTAGATGTAAGATCTGCTTGTGTTTCCTCAACCTCTCCACATTCCCCACTCACATGAAAATCACCTCTGCTCTTGTAATGGCATTCAGTCATCCCCAGGGATTAGGTTTAGGCTGTGTATTTTTTTGGCTGCAATTTCCTTGGTGTCTCTACAAAATTCAGAGCCTTGGTTGGCTGTTCTTCCATGACAGGTGTCTCCACTCTTCCCCATTCATTTGGTTTTGCTCAGCTCAAATGCATCAAATTCAAATCAGTCATGTGTAGCATTTTAGTATTATTAAGTTATCTAATTAACTTAAGAGAGATGCTAGAATCCAAAAATGCGTATTTTGGCAAGGGTTAAACCTTAATCTCAAAAGCTACATGCCAATTCAAAGTACATTTGTGTGCAGATTTATCTGAGAGTGGCTTGGCACTAAAGGATTTTCCATTGGCGCTAAAAGAGCTACTGCATGCCAAGAAAGTAAATATCAAACAGAAATGTGCCAGTATTTCCTGCCAGTCTCACATTTTTGAAACTTTTTCCATCCTCCATGCCATTGATTTTTGATATGCTCCCAGGCTTCCTAGGGAAAGGCTTTTGAGTTTCACCCTGGGATGCTGAAAGTCTTCTAATTTGAATACTAAAAATGCTAAATGAAAAAGGAACCCTCCCCCTTCTGACACCCCCAGGAAAAATCCCAGAATCTTTTCCTGTGAAATGCTGGAAGACTTCAAGGAGCTTTTCAACCATCCAAAATACACAACAAATAGAATGTGACATTTTTTCCAACTTTTGCACAAACAAGCTGGTAAAGCTTCTCCACCTCTTTTTGGGATCTCTCAACCATACACTTTTGATTGTATTTCATTTCTGATTCCTGTGTCTCAGTTTCCCACAGCTGGCATTTTAAATTTTTTTGTTACTTGTTTCTACTCTTGGATCTTTTTCCCTGCTTCTTCATGCCAAGTTCCACCTTTGAAACTCTGTCCCCTGAAGACTCTTTCACAAGCTGTCCTTACAGCATTGACCACTCAGTCCTGGGGCTGGACTGCATTTCTTTGTGCCTGGGCTGCATTCTCACATCAGGAGTTCTCCAGTCCTGGAAGCAGATGGCATTGATCAACCTCCCAGTCACTAGACTTGTTGCAGGACATCCTTCAATCACAGTGGGATCATGTTTAACAATATGTCCTGTACTGAAACAGCAGTAATAAAAACATACAGACCTTACTTCTTGGCCAATTCATTGGGTGAAAAGAGGAAATATCATGACTCACAATTTAACATATTTTATAAAGCATAAACTATTTTGTTTCTGTTTCTAGTTTGTTTTCTAGCCATAATAACATTTTTTCACTATTGTTTATAATATTGTGTACAGAGCTCCTATATTTCTTAATAATCTACTTGGCTTGCCTAACCACAGTGTTCAAACATCTTCCAGGTAGATCTTCTAGATTCTGGACATTGTACAACATGGAAAAATGCAGTGAAAATCAAAAATACTTTTGCCTTATTAATAAGGAACTTTAAAAGGCATATTGCTTGAATTTGATGCTAGTATGAAGTGGGTTTGCCTCTTAAAAATTATTTGGCTCATTACAACTTTTTAAGTTCTCTGGTAACCAGTAGAGCCTAAAGATGGGATGAGTTTCTTAAAGTTGTTGTGTGATGGAGGCAAAAGTGATAACTGCTGTCATCATCCCTGAAGGCCCTTCTCACCTGATATTCCTAATGCTGCAGAAAACATAATCAGAAATCTCATATGATGCAGGAAATATTATTTAGGAGCAACTTACACATAAATAGGGAGAGCTCCAGATGCTGAGATGCTGGAGCTGGGCAATGCACATCTTGGAAAACTTAATGCAGCACAGGGTTGAATGGAGGCTCTGTGAGCACGCATTTCTCTTCACAGCCACATGTACACATTTGAATTTACTAAGAGAAAGAAAGAGACAGGAAGGGTGTTGTGCAGTAGAAGCTGAAAAAAAATTTTAGAATTTAAAAACCCAACCGAAACAAATGAAATTATATGCATAAATCTGTGTTGATACTAGGAAAATAGTATATGCACAAACAATACAAATCAGATTGAGGGTTCACTTCGTGTATACACTTTATAAATTAAAGACAGCATTCTGCTCCTGGGTCTGAACTGTAGATCTTGATTGCACATTCTTTTCTGGAGTGAACTCACTCCACTCAGGGGCAGGGGGCTGCACACAGGGGTGGTGGCAGGGAAATGCCCTGCTACATCTGGGGGAAAAATGCTGCCTGAAATCCAGGGTGCTGCAGAGTTCTTCTCAGGTCATGGCACTGCATGTCCCAAGGTGGGGCTGGGCATGGTCTGTGTGCTCCTGGTGCTGAAGGTGCTGCTCTCAGGCCTTGCCTCTCAGAGGGTGCATGGCCAGAAGCCACGGCCTGGGGCTGCTTGGGAATGCCAAAGTGCATCACTGGGACTGCAAAAGGCCACAGCCACTGGCCTCTTTCAGGAACCACTTACTGCTGGAATACTGAAGGCTCTCTGATCAGCAAAGTCTGTGAAAATAAAGAAAGGAGAGAAGAAATGAAATGAAATTAAATGAATAAAACTAAATAAATAAAAATGAAGTAAAATAAAATATACCCCAGACTGCTATTTTTACAGGCTTCTGGAGTGAGAAATTTGCAAAGTCTTTCTACTAGAACAGTCATATCTTTTTAATCTGTACCCCTGGAAGAGGGCAACTTGAAAGACTGAAAGACTCTTTTTACCCTCATGCTCCTTGTTGACTTTTATTTAAAATTTCACCCCAAATATAATCCAAGTACAAATCAGTGTTGGTGAATACTTTTTCTTTTTAACTGTCCCTGCTGGGGACCTCCATCATTAGAAATCAACATCATAAAGCTACTTTGGTTCAAATCTTTACTGTAAAAAGTCAAAACTGCTGTAAGCCATGTTTTATATATAGTTATTCTTTAGCCTTGCCCAAAACTGGAGCAAAGAGCCACAGTGAAAGGCCAGGTCTCAGTGATGAATTTAATTTTTTTTAAAGCTATGTAATATGGAATAACAGCATAGAAAGAACCCCACCAACCAAAAAAATAAAAAAAATAAATAAAAAAGAACCTGTGCTCGCTCATGGAAGGAACTATGCGGCAAAACCCTTGACACAGACACAGGGTGGTGTCACTGCACCTTGCCTGTGTGAGGATCTCTGGAGCTGTGCTGTCAGGGAGCCCTTTCTTCTCCTGTGATGTGCTGTGGTTTTGCTATGGGTTTTAGAACATAGATGAGCAAAAAGACAGCAGTTAGTCTGAGTTGCATCAGCTCAGGGTTTGTAACAACCTACCCACACTGAAAGTTAATGCTGCTGACTGTGTCCATGAGAAATCCCTTGGACAGGTCTCTTTCCTAAAGGTAGATCAGAGGAGAAAATCTGTGAGGAAACAGGCAGCTTAATCCACATACAATCAGTGTGTTCTCTCTTTCCAATGGCTACAACAAACTGATCAGGCAGAGATTCAGCTTCTCCACAACAGGAGACTATTGTAAAGGAAAGAACAAATGTGGGATTTTTTTAAAATAAGTGATGTTTCATATAAAAGTTGCAAGAAAATAATTATGCTGGTTTATATTCTTTTGGTATAATTCATTTGTTGCTACCCAGCCTGTTAGCATAGCTGGGCACACTGTAACTTATGGCAGGTCTCTGCTGCCAACCTCTGCTCTGTAATTCATTAGTTTCAAGTTGCTGCCACAACATATTACTCATTAAAACTAGAGATCATCCTAATTTTAATGGAGAAAAAGTACTCATGCTTATGAACGGTAAAAATTTTGAAGCCTTTATTCAAAATGGACTGAGATAAAGAGAAGTCATGATACAAGAGATGGAGATGGAAAATAAAACCCTGTCCTGCCTCATTAATGGACATGGTTGCTATGTGAGTGACAATATTTTGGTCCCAGACAGCATTTTGTTTCCAGAAACAGTGAACCCAGGCTTTTGTGCTCAAACAGCTTCAAATAATCATTAACCACACTGCTCTTAGATGTAAAAGATTTTCACACCAGAATAGTTTCTGTGATTCAAACAGGTATAGGTAGCCCCTCCCATGGTTTTGAATGATTATGTAGGAATCAGATGGGTTAATGCTGTATTTCCAGTCAAATGTTGAGGGGCAGTCTCTGTCTGGGCACTAGATTATAAATTAGGATGGACCTATGAATAGCATCATAGAAAGGTATTTGATTCATGCAGGTGTTCAGGACAAGATACAGTGTCTGGAGCTGAGGAAGGTGTTGCCAATGGCACCTTTGAACATGGGAGCCCTGGCAGCCCTGCTAGCCACAGCCTTCAAAATCCATCACCCTGTATCAGTTCCTGCTCATTAGCAGATTCTGGACTACTCTGTTCCAAGGGGAAATGGGGCAGACAGTGCACTGTGTGGATAGATCCCTAACCATGAGACCTCAGGGAGAAACCAGCAGGGTAAGTCCCATGCTCAGCATGTGAGAATTCACAGTTCTGATTATAAGAGACACCGCTCTGGTTAAACACAGCTTTTCTCTTGGGCCTTGTAAATCTAGAAGTTCTGTTTCTGTTAAGAAATACTGAAGTCAGACACCTTCTCACCAGGACTGACTTGCTGGGAAAATTGAAGCTTGAGCTAGAAGGGAAGATCTTTTGTCAAAACCTGGAAGAAAATGAGAGGGAAGCTGGCAGAATGGAGCTGGTACCTGGCAAAAAAAAGCTATTAAGTGTCAGAGTCTGGGGCCATGGGCAGCTGTTCTCTGCTAACACTTTCTAGCTATGTCCTTGCTATGGAATTCAAAGGGGTAATTTTTACAGGTTCCTTAACAGTTTCTAGTTAAATATAAGCTAAGGCACTTTGCTTGCCCTTCTTCTCATTAGGTTACCATGCAAGGGTGATGATTTTGGGTGTTGGTATTAATTGCTGCTGTTCACTCTCACCTCTCTGTCCATGGTGAGCTGGTTTCCTAATCTCAAACCGGGAGGAAAAAAAGCTCATTTCAGCCACTGCTCACTTATATGAGGATGTCAGGAAGCAGGAGTCTGTGTCTGCTGCTGGTTTTTCCTGCAGTAGCCTTCTGGAGAGTTATGGGAACTCCTGGGCAACTGAAGCACTGCTCAGCACAAAGCTCTGCAATGGGACATCAAAAGGATTTATCAGTATTGCAGAAGAAAAAATCCACTCACAAATCCACTTCAATACAAAGTCTAGCAGCCATGGAACTATCTTATCCCTCTAGATTTCCCGACAATGCCCACAGGTGCCTTTATGCTTGATTCCTTTGAGAGTTACAGTGGTGGTAAGAAACAGCTGGGAAGATGGCAATGCATCAGTCTGACTGGTTTTGCTCCAGAATTTTCATGAGGAATTAGGGAAAGATTCAGGTCTCTACTAATTTGCTTGTATATGTAATTTTATGGGTGCAGCTGCTAAAGCTCACAAATCTGAAACCTCAGAAGACTTAAAGATCAGACATTTCATTTGGAATCAAGCAGCTTTGGAGGCAGAAATCCATATTCAAAGGCTTTAAGGCACTTTCCCTATGTTGTAGCTAATGAACAGGAGAGAAAGCAGAGGGAAAATCAATCAGAGACCATGCCTACATTGAACCAGGAGCTGATAGGAAATCATATAAATTTCCCCTCATATTTCCATGGCTAAAATACAGCTTTATGTGAAAAATTGTTTATTAAATTACACCACCTTGTGTGTTCATACGGATTATTGTTATTATTATTATTCTTACTGTGTCCATTATCTTGTGGGGTTGCTTCTGTTTAGGTATATTTGTTTACAGAGTATATAAGAAATTTGTTCCATGTCACTAAAGGACACAAAATGATTCACACAAACGCCTCTCAATGTCAGAACAGGAAAGAAGAAACTTTATTCTCTGTCTCCAGTATTTATAGATTCTTCACAATGACCAGGGATTGGATAAATAAATCATCACTTTCCCAAGCACACTGGTCATGTGAAACGTCCATCAAAAGACGTTTTTTAGAAGGAATGTGATAAACAACTTACGTTTATAGAACTTTCATGGGAAAAGTAACAAATACTATGAATACATTATCAGAAGGTTTTAAGTTTCTGGGTGACAGTCCCAGAATTAGGGTCTCACTGAAGAAGGTAATGGACCAGCAAGAAAGAACTGTGCTGGCTGGATGCATCTTGTTAGCTGAGACAGCACTTGGCAGGATATGTGCTACCAGCACTACAATCATGTCATCTAGTCCTACTTTAAGTCACTCAGTGAGGTCAGAACAGCTGAAATCTGTGGACACAGAATCACACTTCAGTGTGAAACAGTAAAAATGGGTTAACAAATGGAAGTTCATCATGGGTGCTGCTGTAGCTCAGGGGTGTTCAGTCATGTGCTGCACCCTACTGCTTACTGCCTACATTTTTTTTTTTGTCTGTATTGCCTAACACCTTCCTACAGCACCTTTAAATTCAAGACAGTCCAAGGCAAACTTAGAGGTGCTGATACCTAAAAGCAAAGCAGCATAATTCAAAACCAAAAGAAGGTATCTAAACATCTTTAGCTGAATAGGAAACACACGGAACAACAGTGGCTTCAACTCTTAGGAAGGAGAAAAAAAAGAAATCTGGTTGATCTGGAAAAAAAAAGAAGCTTCTGGCACTTCTTTCACATTACACACAAAAATAAGTGACAAAACTTGAAAAAGCTTCAAAATATGTGAAATGTTTTATTGTGGAAAAGACAGCACCTACTTAGATGTTTCAGGAACTTTGTGTTTGGTCTTCTCTTCAGTAAAACATTGTTAGCTTTGCCCGGAAGAAAATTTGGAACCGGGTCTGTCCCTGCATAATGATCTGTTATACAGTGTTGCAGAATGCCAAAGTCCTTCTATTTTAGTACTTAATGTAAAGACTTCTCTTCCCAGCTAGAAAAGACCTTTGATTTTCTAACGAATGTCTCAGATGATTTGAGAACTAGTGGGTGTGTTAGTAATCACTTGAGTTTTTACAAGTGGAACAATTCTTTTAGCCAAACTGGATGAGGGGTGAAGGGGACAGAAAAACCTTCTTAATCCCCTCACACTTATTCCCACCAACGAAAGAGAGGGAAAATCTAATTTCCTAATCTCCCACAGCCCCACGGAAGAAAGATAAACAGGAACAGAAAGATCAGTAGTTTCTGAAAAAGTGATGGTGAAAGCTTTTAGATATCTGGTTCTTTGAGTCACACCAGAAAGTCATGACCAGCCAAGTAAGTGACCACTGGATTTCATAGCTCATTTTTTTATTCTTCATCTCACAGTATGGGGCAAATCTCCCTTGGCATTTCCATTCTGGAATTCCACATGTTCTGTCTTACCCACTGCAGGAAAATCTGTACACCAAGAAGTTTTTCTATGAAAGGGAGTCTCATAAGGAGTTGTCATGAGAGATTTCTGCAGGAACAGCTGCCATTAACAGCAGCAATGTTGAAGAACCAAAGCAACCTTTCTGTAGCAAACAAGGGATTTTTTAAAAAATCTACATTTGAAAATGTTGTGCTGTGTCTGGAAATAGTGAGATGTGGCTGCTATCAAGGTTAAAATCCAGACACTGCTGTTAATATACTTTTAAGATTAGAAGTTCAAGAAGAGCACACACAAGATTAGACAACAATGAAATACAGATCTAATTTTTACTTTTCAGATACTAGAAGCAATTGTAAAAATGTTATTTCACAAGGAAAGAATGATCATTAATCACTTTGGCATTATCCAGACAGTAATTATACCCTAGCTATGCAAGGTAATTATAATTACACCAGGGGAAAGGTCTCTGTCAAAGCCATAATAACTGGCTCTCACAGCTGCCCATCTCTATAAAACACAGTAGAAAGTACAAACCCTGTTGTCCAGTTGACTTTTCTCTGTGGGGAAAGGGAAGCAGCAGGAGGCAAGCCCTCACTGAGAAGGGGACAGAAAAAACCCCATGTGCTGTCTGCCTGGAGCAAAGCAGTTACTTTGATACCCAAACTGATGAGTTTTAGAACATAATAGGAAACAACAGATTTTGAGGCTGCAGTCATGGCTCAGGAGCACTTCTCTTGCTCAGATGTTTTCAAGCTTCTTCTCAGTCAGAAAGCAGAGCCACACACATTGAAACTGAAGAACATATTTTTATGACAAAAGGTGGTTACATGTCAATCCCCAGGCCCCCAGAGCACAGGGAGTCCTGCTTCTGAGTTTTAAAATCCTTCCCTAGTGTGGCTCTGGTGCAATGTGTCCTCTGTGAGATCTGGACAGACCTTCCAGGACACCTGGCTGCAGCACCCTGTGACAGTGCAGGAGCTCCTGGCACACTCCTGCGTGCCACAAACATCTCTCTGCAAGGTGGCCCATCAGTTTTCTGCTTGCCTAAAAGATGAGATTCTTTTCTGAACTTACAAGGTCAGCCTTGTGCTACCTTACAGTCATTAAACAGGACACCACTGGCTAAAGATAAATAAATACACTATATCTTAGAGAAAACACAGTTCTTAGCTGCTTCTCTGGAGCTGACTTTTTTTCTCACACCCTGGGAGCCCTCCTCTGCCTCTTCCCGTGCTGAAGTCTGTTTTGGAGTGTGCCCTAAAACTATATAATAAAAACATGTGTTATTACTGTCAAACTACCTGTGAACAGTCATAACAGTGGATGATTTTAGGCCTGCATTAGCAATGGGTTAGCAAAATACAAACGAAACCAGAAGAGAGAGAGAAAGAGAGAGAGAGAGAGAGAGAGAGAGAAAGAGAGAGAGAGATAGCACCTTTGTAAAACCATTCCGAAAAAGTGTTATACAACACAAGTGTTAGACATTTTTGGTTGAGGAATATTATCAAATCCATGGCTGAATGAATCTTCCAGAGAAGTTATGATTATTTGAATTTGTGATGCCACATTGGCTTACCTTGTCCTGTCACATCTTTCTGTTTGTTTTCCACTTATCTTAAGATGTTTGGTTTACAGAAGTACTGGCAGAAGTAAAGAAAAACTTAAAAATTCCTATATGAATGGAATGCTTCCAACACGATCTGCAGCAGACACATTTCTGTGGCCATGATGAAATTTCTCTGCAGTCTTTCCTCCTGCATATGGGTGTTCAGACACCTGATTCAGGAGGGGTAATTTTGCCAAATTTCTTGAGCATTGTTTCGAAAGCTGATGGTATTGGGTATTTTTTCTAAGTTCATAAAAACTGAAGAAATATTACAGTAGATATGCAGTTTTTCTAAACTAAGTGATTAACTCGTGGTCCTACTATTCACCAAGATATACCTAAAAACGTGTTTCTTGACATTACAGAAATCCAAGGACCAGCTAAAAACCCCTAAACGTATTCATCTTTAAATCACAGATTAATCTACTTTTTCTTTACCTAAGAATATTTGAGTACTTGAGGCTGACAGCATAACCTAAGTTACCACAGGGTGTGAAGAGGGAGTGGCCGGGGGTACAAATCAAGTTAAAAATAGTTTGGAGACAAATCACAGTTTAAGATCTATTTGCATTAAGGGTTCTGCATAAAGCAGCTGTTGATCTTGGGAAACATCTATTTCTCCCCGAGGAAGAACATCTCCCAGGGTTTCCCAGAGGCAATGTGGCTCTTGGAGCCCTTGAGGATGAGGATGGAGAGCTGGGGACAGCAGCACTGACCACCTCCCTGTCCCGTGTGATTAGAACACGGTCAGTGCATTGAGCGTTTCTCAGTTCTCCAAAATAACACTAACAGCAATGACAGAGTGACCTTTCAGCAATTTCTGGAGAAGGAAACACATTTCCCTCTTTTGCTTCTGCACAGTGATAATCCTTTTTCATTTCTAATATATTCCTCTTTGTACTATTAAATTGAATAATGAGTGACAAACGATGGTAGACACATCTACTATGGAGATTAATAACATCATTAATAGTTTTTAGAATGACACCTTTGCATTCAAAACAGTTTATTATGTTAACGTGCCATGTCATGTTTCTTTCACTATTGTGCTCAGCCTTTCTTTTCTCTTTATCTCAGTGTTTTTCACAACGTGTGAATTGCCCTAAGTAAGGCTTTGATCTTGCAAATGTGTGCAGACTATTTACCTAACACGAGCCATCCTCTTACATCCAATTAGACTATTGCTTGTA